TTATATATATATATATATATATATATATATATATATATATATATATATATATATATATATATATATATATATTGTATTATACCTATATTTCTTTCAGGAGACGATTTCCCTGGTAAAACTTCCGTTTACGCCAGTACAGGCGGAAACCAAATGAACGAAGATAAACCTGGGACACAAGGAAATAAACAAAGCGCATTAAATGATAAAACAGCGATGAACGATAGCGCCATTTCCTCAGGTAATTGAGTGTTTTGTTATTTTCTCCTCTCCCAATATTCTTCTTTTCTTGTTCATGCCTTTTCTTTCAGTTAAGTAGCAGCTGAAGTACGATGCTACAGTAGTAGCGATCATTATTCTGACCACCTATTTTAAGTTGTTAGATGCATTATGCATGATTTGTTTTCAGTTCTGCAAAACTGGGTGTTACCGTGATCAAGATAATACTATTTGCTGCAGTAAAGCCTATATTAAGTTGAATTTTGATAAAGCTTAGACCTTTTATTAAGCGGAAGTTAATGCAGGTCACAAAATCAGCAAACACCCCCTGTTAAGTGGATACCAGGGAGGATGCTGTCTGTGTTTGCTTAACAGAGTATAACTCATTTTACTTGATCGCGTTCCGTATTCGCATGACCTGCGCATGTTGATTCCTTTATAGGGCGATAAGAAATGCTATTGCACCATTAAGGACAAACATTAATTTTATATCAGGCCATGAGATATTACCGGCATAATGCTTAGTTCCCTGCCCCCGAGTGGGGGATAGGGCCGACCGGCACAACATTATCAAGAATTGCTCGAAACTGCCCCGAATAATGTTATAGTTTTATGACTTACTTTTCTCCAAAAATTAACTTACACGTAAAATATAAATAGTTTTTAAAAAGATGTTGAACTGACATTTTTTACTTGGAAACATTCAGCTTGAGTTGAAAAATTTTTTGACACTATTTTAACAAATTTTCTCAGTGATGGCTTTCGTGCGTTTCAAATCGTTTATTCACAAAGGCAACAACTCATTATGACAATTGGAGTTGATATGCTGACCTCTCAGCCTCACACAGTTTTAGTAAGTTTATTTCCTAGTTTAAGCAAAAGCCCGCCATCAGTTGCTAAGAAGATGTCAAATTGTCAAAATTAATGAAGATAATTTTTAACAAGTAATGATAAGACGATCGTCGATTTTAAGAATTCATTAACAACCTTTGACTTACAGATAAAGTACACTCACAGACCAACCCGTACAAAGCTTATGGCCACGTCAAAACCATCTTGTATTTCCTTGGTTATCCACGCAGCCGTCACACTCTCCTTGGCTCTTTACTGGACGCTCACCCGCACATGGCTATAGCAGACGAGACAGCGGCTTTTACCAAATGGATATCAAATCCAAACAAATGGATGAAAAATTCAGTATACGCATATTATGATCTTATGTTCAAAGCTTCACAGCGTGTCGTCAGAGGAGGAAGAAGGTCTCGAGTGTTTAAACAGAGAGTTGTTAACGCAACCCGTAATTTTCTTTATTATGTACCAAACCAATGGCAAGGCAAGTTTAATCAGTACATTGAGGTAAGCCGAATGTGAGGCTCTTATTAAGCGCTGAAATCAAAGGACCCCATGTGGTATCTCGTACATTCACGCCCAATGTATCCTTCTGGCAGACGGATAAGCTTTTTATCAATATTAAAATATCAAATTTGATCTTATTCAAAACAAAACAAAACAGGCAAAGACTTGACTTACATTTTTCTATTAATAACACTGAAATTGATCGTGTCAATGAAGTTTTGTTTTTAGGAGTTATACTTGACGAGCACTTGTCTTGGCAATCTCAAATACAGAACGTAGCAAGAAAAATTTCAAAATCAGTGGGTATTATCTAAAAATCAAGTTTTTGCCTTAATAAGATCTCCTTATGAACTCTCTATTATAGTTTAGTTTATCACCTATTTACACTACTGATCGAGTCTCTGGGGCTCCACTTATCAATCAAATCTCAAACTTTTAATACTTCAGAAACGAGCTATTTGAACACTTTCGAGAATTACTTTTAATGACCCTATTTTTCTGCCTGAGGTTAAAAATCCTAAAATTTGAAAACCTTATCAAACTTCAAATAGGTGAAGTTATGTACCTTTACAAAAATCGCCTTCTTCCCGAAAGTTTCCATGACATGTTTTTATTTAACTATGACGTACATAAATACAATACTAGAACTAATATTTTTTTTCCCTTTACGCTACAGTAGGACTATTGTAAAGAACTTCCCTTTTCGTTTTCAAGGCCCAAACTTATTTAGTTCTCTCAGCAATGGAATTCAAAATGCCTCCAGTATTGCTGTTTTTACCTCTAAACTTAAGTCATCTTTCTTGATAAGTATTTTTACTTCTCTCAGTAGGCTTGCGTATGCTTCTTTCGCTACTTTTATTTCCTTTTTTCCCTTCCTTTGCCTTTGCGCATTCGCGCGTTTAGTTGTGCTTAACTACCTATTTCTCCCTCACCATTGCTGACGTCACTACGGGACCACGTGAGATTGCGCGAACAAGCTTGCCTTCAATGTGCGACTTTGTTTGCCAGGACAAGACGTTAGT